TCATGCTCGAGTCTTCTCGATCCCTTTTGTTTCCATTTCATTAATTTGTATTTGCACCACATTAATGACAATATTTACTTAATGATTTATGCTTTTTAATGAGATGAAAGTCTCTTGCGTCTTTAGAATGTGTCTGTGTTGTTCCTGCTAAAAGTAGCCGTCACAGGCCACTTTATTAGGTACACCTTACTAGAACTGGGTTGGACCCCTTCAGAACTGCCCTAATCCGTTGTCTCATAGATTTAACAAGGTACTAGAAATATTCCTCAGAGATTTTGCTTCATATTGACATGATGGCATCACTCAGTTGCTGCAGATTTGTCGGCTGCACATCCATGATGCGAATCTCCCGTTCCACCACATCCCAAAGATGCTGTATTGGATTGAGATCTAATGACTGTGGAGGCCATTTGAGTACAGTGAACTCATTGTCATGTTCAAGAAACCAGTCTGAGATGATTCACGCTTTATGACATGGTGCATTATCCTGCTGGATGAAGCCATCAGAAGATGAGTACACTGTGTTCATGAAAGGATGGACATGGTCAGCATCAATTCTTAGGTAGGCTTTGGCGTTGACCCGATGCTCAATTAGAACTAATGGGCCCAAAGTGGACCAAGAAAATACACACCATTACACCACCAACCTTCAGACTGAAATGTTGGTACAATGGATGGATCCATGCTTTCGTGTTGTTGACGCCAAATTCTGTCCCTACCATCCGAATGTTGCAGCAGAAATCGAGACTATAAAAATAAAATATTAATGTTGGGTGTATATCACTCCAATATGACTGTGGGCACACTATACACACAGTTCTGTCCAAATTGCTTACAAAAGATCATTTTCATCATAGGTGCCCTTTAAAGGAAAAGTTAATCCTACTTTGGCCCAATCCCAATTCTATTTTTGTACCCCTACCCCTTCCCTTTTCCTTGGCCCTTGCAACCGAGGGTGAAGGGGAAGAGCATATACATACATATACATATATACATATATAGTGTGGCAATAAGATCATAACTATACTGTGTATTTACACTGTTCATCTATGTAAACACAACAAAAACAACATTAACATTATAGCAGACACTGTAAAAAACCCATTCCCAGCCAGTAGACTTTTCTGATAGGGTATTTAAGTGTCATCAAGTGTCAGAATGTTGTGGGACGACCATATAGGAGTTATTATTAGGGATTATAGATTGCGAAATGTAGAGGTTTTCATTTATTTTTTTAAAGCATGATGGTAAAACACGTACACGGTTGTAAATATATTAAAACATATAATGACAAAAAATACTAATTTGTGGATCTCCCTTTTTCTGGGTGTAGCAATTCTGCCGTTGCGGTTGGTGTATTCTGGGAAATTTTCTTACCCCTTGATTTCAAGTGTGGTCCTAAAAATTTTCATTTGAAGGGGTATTTACCCCTTCTCCCTAGCCTTCAAGCTAAAGAGAAATGGGACACCCCTACCTCTTCACATGAACGTGCAAAATGAGGGGTAGGGGTAAGGGAAAGGGCTAAGGGGTAGAATTGGGATTGGGCCTAAGTCTTTCATGTGCGTTTTCAAAATGTATGTGCATCTTGGTGTTTCCATTTTGTATGTGATATTTCAAAATGCGCATATGGAAACATAGCTATTATGTGGTACTCGTTCTCATTTGATTTATCATTTGAGGAAGTCATAACCAGGACGAAATTAAAACTCAACCAAGCGCAGAATGCGTGAACATTTGAAATTTTGCTTTGGTGAATAAATAAAGCAGAATAGCCTGCCATTATTGGGAACTACAACATTAAGTCAGACTGTGTGAATGGTGGCAGACTCTCTCTGATGTAAATGATGTGTGTTATTCAAATCAAAGAGTGTCTACTCAGGATAACATCTGTTGCCACTTTCTCTTCAGTGGAAATTATGAGAAGTTTATATAGAAATAGCTAATTATATTTTCCCAAAGAACTCCATGTGGTGACACATATTCACGCATTAAGCAAATAAACACAGAAATATTGTGGGCAGATGGAGCAAATAATGCACACACAATGATCTGTGCTGTCTGTACCAAGTATGCAAAAAAACCTGTAATAATAATTCTATTGTGGGGCAGCGTGGTTGTGCAATGGGTAGCGATGTCACCTCACTGCAAAAAGGTCGCTGGTTTGAGCCCCGGCTGGGTCAGTTAGCATCTCTGTGTGGAGTTTGCATGTTGCATGCTCGCGTGGGTTTCCCTCCGAGTGCGTCTGTTTCACCTACAAGTCCAAATATATGTGGTAAAGGTGAATTGGATAAGCTAAAAACGTCCGTAGTGTATGAGTGTGAATTAGAGTTTATGGATGTTTCCCTGTGCTGGGTTGCAGCTGGAAGGGCATCCGCTGCATAAAACATGTTTTGGATAAGTTGGCAGTTCATTCTGCTGTGGCGACCCCAGATTAACAAAGGGACTAAGCCGCAAAGCAAATGAATGAATGAATAAATCCATTGTCCACAAATGTTGATTTATTTTTATTTTTAGAAATGTCCTCAATTAATTCACTTAAAGTTCATTTTAAACAATAATAATAATAATGGATGCAGGGGAAAGTTTGATTAGGTCAAGGCCGATTGAAAGGCATTCTGCCCCATAATCCAGTTCTGCCAGAGTTGAATTTTAATGATAAATTAAATAGTCCATCAAGGGAAGGGTCATCAACTCTCTCTCTTTTCTCTCGCTCTCTTATGTTCTCACATCCCACTGTCTCTGCTCTGTAAAACCTTGATATGTCCTTCACACCTTTTCAATATATCTGCGCGCGGCTCTGTCTCATTCTCCCGTGTCTTCACCTGCCTGTGTGATCTGCCGTTGAAAAGTGAGAAGAGATGCTCGACTTCCTGTTATTCTGCTAGTAATGTATCATATCAGCTCATCTGCAGCTGACACCTCTGAGAGAGAGAGAGAGAGAGAGAGAGAGAGAGAGAGAGAGAGAGAGAGAGAGAGAGCAACAGGTGTATTTTAATGAGCAGTCTCACTAAAGCTGTTGAAGGCTGATGTGATTTTTGTTCATGATATGGCAGCAGTTGGCACAGCACTTGTCATCCCCTGCCAGTTGCTTATGTATATATGAATTTTCAAGAGATTATATACTTATAATTCATTGTGATTTTCTGTTTTTTTTTATTGTAGTGATATTATTTTGGAGTTTGCATGTTCTCCATGTGTTGGCGTGGGTTTTCCTATGGATGTTCTGGTTTCCCCCATTGTCCAAAGACATGCGGTATAAGTGAATTGAAGGAACTAAAATGTGTAAGAATGTGTGAATGTGTGAATGCAAGAGTATATGGGTGTTTCCCAGTACTGGGTTGTGGCTTGATTGGCATCCACTGTGTAAAACTTTTGCTGGAATAGTTGGTGGTTCATTCCACTGTGGCGACTTCTGATAATCAAAGAGTGAGCTAAACGAAAGTGAATGAATTATTTATTTTATTTCTTTTATTTTATATTAAATGAACAACTTTTTGCTTAATTAGTATTAAAATATGCATACTGGATGCAAGAGCACAAAGGCTATTCTTAAAATTAAAATTCAGTTCTTTATAGTGAATTTGATTAAGACTCTTCACAGATTCTTCACAGACATTCTTATTAGTGTATTTTGTTATACTTTTTTTGTATTTGAAGTATTAAAATGTACGTAATTTACTGCAGTAGGAGAAGCAGTATGAATCTTTTCCTTATTTAATAAATGACTTCCGCCTCAGAAGACAATAGCGACACGCAAAGAACAGATGGTGGCGTTTAAAGGATGCAGAGCGCAGATGCTCTTGACTATTCTGGAGGTAATTTATAGTATAATAACACTAATACTGAAATGGTTACAGCATTTTAGAATGACCAAAACAATATTTCAGATGTTTTACAATGTGCTCAGCCTGCTGGCACACATTTTCATCACCACTTGATCTCATAACAAAATCACATGACTTTTTTTAATGCACATCCTGCATTTTGTTCAGTAAAAGTGTTTCCAATCATAATGCACATCTTTTCTTACCTAATAAAGAGTTTATCCTACTCTGTTATGCGCATATTTTATTATGCACATTTTCAAAATGTATGCGCATCTTGGTGTTTCCATCAACCGTTTTATATGTCCATATCTAAAATGCGCATAAAAATACTGGGATGTAAACATAGCTACATTATGATTTCGAGAGTACAACATGTCTCACATTTCTTTCCAAATGTCTTGTTGACCATTTAAGCAATAGTTCACCTAAAAATATTAAAGTTTGCCATTATACTCATTACTCTCCCTCTACTTGTTATACTTCTTAGGAAAATATACTATAAGTGAAGTTTTTAAACTAATTTCGAAAGGAGCATGTGATATAATTGACTGCAGCTGGCCACCTATCTACACTCATTAGTTAGCCAATCAGATCTATCCTAACTCACTATAAGTAGCCTAGCTAGATATTACTCCCTTATCTTCAATTTCCGAAGAAACCCCCCATCCACTCCTTTTCTCCTTTACAAAAAAGGGGAGCTCTCGAGAACCACCTGATCTCGTACTCCCCTCACATGCTCTATGGACCTGGCGGGAGCCCTGGGCTCAACTATCTCCGAGCTCAGGGTTCTCTCCCGGGACAGCATGCCAAACCTGCTTACAGTTGTCAAGCAATATCTAAGTGTGAACTCTTGAATTGTTGGAGGAAAAAACAGCCATCGACTTTCATAGTTTGTTTTGTTTATACTATGGATATTGATGGCTGCTTTTCCCATTTACATTCTTCAGAATATCTTCCTTTGTGTTTAACAGAAGTAATAAGTCATGGTTTAAGCAAAAGGTAAATGAGGAAATGTACATATTTGGGTGAACTATCTCTCATCCCTACGAAGCACTAATAGATATTAATGTTGTTTAAACTGAACTCACGATGAATTGTGCCTTTAATTAATTTAACTAAGTAGATATTTATTTTCCCTGGGATATTTACAGTAGCGCTGTGTTTTTATTTTAGATGGTAAGGTTGAAGTGACTAAAGAAGGACTGAAGCTGTGCACCATGGGACCAGGAAAAGTGTTTGGAGAGCTTGCCATCCTTTATAACTGCACCAGAACGGCCACTGTGAGAAGTAAGTACACACCAACCGAAACACACACACACACACACACACACACACACACACACACACACACACACACACACACACACACACACACACACACACACACACACACACACATTGCCATCATAAATAAAGCAAGGGACATTTTAGATTTTTTTTCCCCCTCAACATACATAGATTAGCACAGCTTTATTTATTTAAGGCCACATTTCCCGATCTGCCACTGTGGGATTATAATGCTTAGTATGACTGAATTCAACCAATCGCTCCATCTGTGATGATAATCTGCGATTTTATCAATAGACCGGAGGCCAGACTGAGAGAGATATGTGGGTTGACTTAATATTTGAGGTAAAAAAAATTAGTAGAAAGTTTTGTTTGGAGGTTTTAGGATATGATAAGTGTGTGTTTGTGTGTGTGTACTTGTTTTTGTGACATATTATGACACATCTGAATAATGGCATGTGTATGAAACAGGTATTATAAGAAGGTGGTGAAATTGCTGATGTCCTAATTTCTCATAAAGCTTATAAATCACACAGAATGAGTTTTTTCAGAAAGTAAAACAGTACATAATTTCCTGTGAGGGTTGGGTTTAGGGGTAGGGTGGGGTTGGGCAATAGAAAATACAGTTTGTACTGTATAAAAACAATGGAACCCTATGTAATGTGCCCACATTTTGACTTTTGCATTTCTAATTATGGGTTACACTTCCTAAACAAATCATTTCAGATAATAAGGTTGCTGTCACAGATAGGCTGTGACTGACTTTTATGTAGGCAAGCTAGTAAGCATGCACTAAATCACACAAACCATTTCCACTATACACGCAATTTAGATGCCGGCTGAAAAAACAAACAAACATCAAATGTACTGTGTGTGTGGATACCTGACTGTTTTGTGTGATTTAGAAATGCTCCTTTTATTTCTGAAAAATCATTTTTGCTGTTTGTTTATTTATGTTATTCAGCTTAACATTTCATATTTTGGTTTAACATTTAAAATAAATCACACCAGACTTTGTTGCAATCATAATAGTTTATTTTCCATGGTTAAAACTAACAAACAAATAATATTGTCCTACTTACATTCTGGGTCAATTCCAAACAGCCAAATATGTATGCAGGAAAGGCAGCCATTTTAAGGTTTCCATTTCCCCAATGATTAGGGTTCTACCATGTTAGATGATGTCATAGGGGGATAAATCAAAGAAACCATTGATTTTGATGGAACATATTAATCAGACACTTTTTTAGGTCATTCTGAGACGTACAGTATATGTTGCATGTTACTACCATATGTGTTGTCTCATAAAATATTTTTGACTTGCTTTAGAAGTTGTATATGTTTTCATGTGGTATGTTCTAACAAAATGGGTGGAGCCAAACTCTATAAAATGGCTCCTGCATGACGGCCATTTTAGGAAGTTTTTTTTTTTTTTCCTGTGTGGATAGTTGTGTGTTTGGGCCTAACTGTTGGCATAGCCAGAACACACCTTGATTCTGTAAATTTTGTATATATATTTTTTCTGGGAATGTTCACATTTTTGCACTAAACAAACACTTTGGACTGAATTTATTCCTCGTCACTGGTTTTGTACATCTGCACCCCAGTACATCCTAACAGATGCATTACAAAAATCCATACACAAAGTGAGTCAAAGGTACGTTTGGCTTTGTGCTTTATATTCATCCATCATGCAAATAAAATGATGCTTGATATTTTAATGTGACCTTACTATAGCAAGCATATCTGTGGCTAAAGTTCACCGTGTTTTCCTATTTTCTGTTATGTTCCCTACAGTGCTGTGACATTTAACACATAATATTGAGAAAGACTTGTTTTGAGTTTTGGGGGTTATTCATGCTCTGCTGAAAGTAATTTGTTAGGAAATTTTCCTTTTAATATTAAATGGATGAACTGTGAGGAGAATAATGACACCTCATTGTACCCAGTTTAACAAAAGCAAAATGTTACTGATAGTTTAACAGAAGCAGTGCTTAATTTGTGCAGGAACAAGCCGGATGCGCCATCTCTAAAATCTGATTCAGCACCTCATTTTACAGATCCCCATCCTTACACGCACCCCTGCCCTGCCCCGCTCTTCCACTCATCACTTTCTTACATAACTCCCCGACCCTCTTCACTTTCATCGGCAACATCTTCTTCTCCCCCTTTCATCACCTTGGTCCGTGACACCTCCTCCTCCTCTGCTAACATGCCGCATTTGTTACTCCGATCTGTTCCGGGACCTCGCAATTTAAAAATTAGGCACTGACCAGAATTTATAATTCATGCAATTATCATGTACACTAGGGTTGTGCGATTTGTGGGAAAATATGTAACTGTGATTTTGATGGACAGATATTGCAATTGCGATTTGATTTGCGATTTTAACTTTGTAGTCAAAATTTAGCTTAATAATCTTTAAGTCATGGCAACAATTCTGTGACAGCCTTTAAAAATGACCTGTTTTTGTTCTATGTCTGTGACTTAAATACCAAAATATTCCCAAATTACCAATGCTGTTTTTCTATGATATGAATTTGTCTATTAATGCTTCTGAAGCAGCAGATCCCATTATCCCACTTTCCCGCGATATCCTGTTTGTTTTCTTTTGTTTTTTTTTTTTATTGTGGTAGTTCTGCATAGTTTGGTTGCGCTATTCTGATTGGGCAGAACAAAAGTGTGCTCACTTAATTGGCTAGTAAGACGGTCACACACAGACAACAGTTATGCATTTGCTCTGGACGGGGGAAATTAAGTAGTACATATATATTTTATATCACAGCCTCTTGCAAGATTGTTATTTCCAATGGAGACAAGTAGCTTGTGCACGCATATTGGGAGCGATGCGGCACATGACTGGCGTGAAATGCTCACGCTTTCCAGGCACACCAAGTTAAAAACATCTCAACTTTTCAGAATGCCACAAGCGCACCGCCAGTCACATGACAAGAACTGACTCACCAATCAGCCTTATAGTTTGTACACCTTTTTTTTTCCATCCTCTGAGAAATTGGTTGATGGTCGCCTAGCAAGGACAAAGGTGCGCAAAGTGTGTTGAAAATTGTGAAAGAAGCTTTCCATATGCTTTTAGAATTGAAATGTAAACGGTCCCTAAGTCTGTAAAATATCAGAATATATAATTTTAAACTATTAATGTAAATAAAAGTCGGCGCCAATAGCCTAGTGGTTAGTGCGTCGACACATAGCACTGAGGTGCTCGCAGCGACCCGAGTTCGATTTCCGTCTCGAAGTCCTTTGCTGATCCTTCCCCTATCTCTGCTCCCCACACTTTCCTGTCTCTATATCTCCACTGTCCTATCAATAAAGGTGAAAACCCCTAAAAAAAAATGTAATAAAATAAAATAAATAAATAAATGTAAATAAAAGTCACTTTCAAGTCTCAAGGTCCCATAATGCAATTCAAAAATATAATTAAATGGGTAAAAAAAAAAAAAAAAAAAAAATATATATATATATATATATATATATATATATATATATATATATATATATATATATATATATATATATATATATATATATATATATATATATATATATATACAGAAAACTGTTGGAAAATGGTGGATAACTTGCCTTTCTTCCACCTTACCCATTCTCATTAGGCTTTTCCACATTTATAAAAAGCCCCAAGCTGCTTTCAAGTCAAGATCAGGTTGTTTGATTAGCAGCCAGTTTACACAGGCATAATTAATATCTGTAATTCTTGTTTTTCCCCATTTAACCAGATCGTCCCATATGCACAGGCTTGTGTGCTGACCTTTCTCTCATTTATTATTCCATTCTTCTCCTCATTCTTCTCTTCTGTCTGTGCCATTGTTCTGCTTCATGCATATTCTCCTCCGCTTGGCTCTGTTTCTCCATCCTCCGGCTGTGTTTGTGGCATTCTTGCGCTTCTCTATCTCTGCTTTTCTGGATAGTGTCTGGGAAAGGAAGTGAGCTGGACTGGGATTAAGGGACATGCGTGTGTCTGATCTCTCCATGCACGGCCAAATGCGACACATGTCCCTTATGCCCTACTGCCACTAGCAAACTGAACTTTAATTGCACTCAGAAGAGAGTCCAGTTCTGTTCAGTTCAGTTTGTGTCAGATTAAAGGAGTATTCGTCATGTTAAGCATCTGTCGCTGATGCTTAACTGATGAATTAATGTCAGTATTTGATGTCAATATGATGTTAGTTTAAGATATTGGCTTGACGTCACTTTCTATAATCAACCAAATATCGACATAATTTCGTGTTGTTATTGGACATCAAAATAACATCGTCCTTTAATGCTGGTGACCTAAATCTAACCTAATATTAACATCTTATGTAATCAAGGTTTGTTTTAACCTGAGAGACAAACCAATATTCTTTATGTAAAGTATGACAGAATTCAAAGTGCCTCTGCATGCATTTACACATAAATTCTGCCACATTTCAAAGATAAGTTATTCTCTATCAATAGAAGGAATATACTGTATCCTGAATGGCCTGAAATGAGTAGCTTGCCAGTAACTCCAGTGTTACTTCCTCATAAAACCGCATAAGTTTGTAACAAATTTGCCTAATCCAGTGTTCAGCGCACAAACAATACCTATTTTGACTCTCCAACACTGTAGTTATAGTTGAGGCATGAAAGAGTCTGTGTTCGGGTTGTCAGCATGTCTAGAAAAGAAGTTTTCTGTGCTGTGAAAGCAGATCCACTTTGCATTCACTTCCAAACAATGACAACTCATGCTTAAATTCATACAGCATACTGATGCTATCAGTATTGCTCATATCTCTTTGTATAGAAGCGCTGAGGAAGCCTATATAGCTAAACTTCATATTTGGCAACCTGCTTTTGGTTTCTTACACACACTGTCAAATACAATACAATACAATACAATACAATACAATACAATACAATACAATATGTATTTATAGAGCGCATTTAAAAACAACCAAGTTTGACAAAAGTGCTGTACATAGGAGTGCTAAAAACAGAGAAGC